GCAGGAGCGCGCCGCCGCACTCCCAAGCGGCGCACTGTAGCAGTGCGCCACCGGGCCGGCCTGCCCATATATCTTTAAATCCCTATCATCCCTTCATTCCCTAACGCCATCCATCCAGGCCTGCTCCTATAAGCATTTGTATCTGCAGCCCTGAATTGAGACTTCTCATTTCACAAGCAAGGAAATCCATGTGCACAGACAGTAACTGGCTTCTCTAAATCCAATCAGTAGCAGAGGCAAGACAGGAATTCACATCAACTGACTCCAAACCTGCAAGTAAAATTAAGAAGCAGGACAACATTATCTCCTTAACAACACTATGTTTTCAACAGAACATACCGATCTGATAGGAGCCTGTCCAATCCCTCTTCCTGGAAAGGCCACAGCTTCCTGGATAATTCTTTAGGAACCATCTGCCAGTGGAAACATGGGATTTGCAAACACGGATTTCAGAAAATTAGAACAATGAACAGAATGGTCCATTAGAATGATGATGATGATGATGATGATGATGGTAAGTACTGTTATTTATCTTAGTTTAATGAGGGCAAACATGTACTGAGAACTTTAACTTTACACCAGGCACTGTGAAAAGGAGAGAAGGTCAGCAGACCTGGAATGCTTTCTGGCTATGCCATTAGTTTAAATAACTAACAAAGGATCCCTTTACATTCTCACTGTCAGATTCTCTGCCCAGGGTCCATGGCCTGGGATAATGCTTATTGACACTACATGATTGAGTTTACAATGTCTTTCAACTAGGATTCTCAAACTTTAGTGTGAAAAATGTCTCCTGGGGGGCTTATTTAAAATGCAGATTCCTGGACCATCCCCAAAAGAGTCCAAGGAGGGCCCAGGGGTCTGGAGGTATAGTAAAGTCCCCAGGCAGTGCTGATACAAGTGACCCCAGTTCACAGATTAAGAGACACTGCAGTGGAGGCTCTGTGGTATATTTCCTCCTAGAGACAATGTCCATCTGAAATTTGGAGTCATCTCCAATTTCATCAAATTGTGAAAACCTTGACTGCTAAAAAAAATAACAGAAGATAAAAAGTGGCCCAGATTTTGTTTTCTCCCCATCACTGTGGGTGCCCATATCTGAAAGCATGTCCATTCTATTCTGTGCAGACCTCAGTCTGCTCTGGGATCATCTCCCAGGAGGCAGGTAGCTACTCACTGGTGGAAAGGGAGAGGCAGGGGCTCCAGAGCTGACACAGGCACCAGGCCCCGCTGACCCGTCACCAGGGACACGCCTTCCCACTCAGACCCGCCTTCATCTATCTTCACTGAGATTAACTCGTTCTTGCAAAGCGTCAGATACTCTCCTTCCTTCTCAGCTGGCTGAGCCACGGAGCACATGGCTCTGCAGAAGAAGTGGCCTGTAGATAATGAGAAAAGCCCTTTCCTAGGAGTAGCAGGAAGTAAAAAGGGATTATCACATAATGTAATGTTTCTGTTCAGAGCCCAAATACTTTTCTTCCTGGGAGTAAAGCAGACAGTCCAGGGGGAGGCAATGTAACAGGTCCTTGCAATCCCAGGAAAACTGGTACCAAGAAAAAAAAGCCACTGAGAAGGAATTTACTTAAAATAGACACCAACATTTCTGAATAATTTGTAAGCATAATGCTTAATTGAGACTTTGAAAAAGAAATGAAACAAAAACTTATGAAAATGTATTTATATTTAACAGAAATCC